CCCCTGGTGCCTCCCAGGAACTCCCTGCCGGTGGTTCCTCCTCTGCCTCTGCTCCCAGCAGCTTCAACCGCCCTGCTGGTGGTGGCCCAGGCACCAACAACGTCGGCAGCTCCGGCACCAGTAATCGCCGCCGCCGCCGCGGCAACAGCGGCAATGGTGGCAAAGGCGGCACACCCTGGCCGTCTATCTACAACCCCTGGATGGGGTCCATTTCCATGTGGCCTGGCCCTGGCGGCCAGCAGCAGCACCAGGTGTACCAGCAACAATAGCACCACCCTGGCCCTCCTTTGCCACCACAGAGTGCTCTTCATGCTCACCAGCGACAACAGGCGTTCTCTGCGGCGCCTAATCCCTATGGTGCTCCGTTGCAGCCCGGATTCCCACCAGCTCCACCGCCACCACTCCTCCAGCAGCAGCACCCAGTGTACCAGCCACCCTAACAGTTGCCTTGGACCGGTTCTTGGGATCCGCGGTCGTTGGCCAACTCCTTCAGCACCATGGCCCTCAACCCCCCAGCCATCACCGATTGGGTCATGGATTCTGATTCTTCCAACCATATGACTCCAGACACCAGTAACATTTTCCTCTTTTGACCCCCTTGTTCTTCCTGTCCTTCCTCTATCATTGTTGGAAATGGGTCTACTTTACCTGTGACAGCCACCGGTGATGCTGTTCTCCCGGGCTCTTTTCATCTCAACACTGTGTTGGTTGCTCCTCACATCATTAAAAATCTTATTTCTGTTCCTCAATTCACCATTGATAATCATTGTTCTGTTGAATTTGATCCTTTTGGTCTCTTTGTGAAGGATCTTCGTTCCAAGAACGTGATCATCAGGTGCAATAGTTTGGGGCCTCTCTACACCTTGCATCCCCCGGCGGCTCCCTCCTCGTCATGCACCCTTGCTGTTACTGCTGCTCCCACTACTATCTGGCACCGTCGTCTTGGTCACCCCGGTCATGAAGCTTTGTCCACGCTCTCTAGTAGTACTGCCATCTCATGTACCCGTCATTCTAGTGACACTTTATGTCATGCTTGTCAATTAGGTCGTCACATTCGGTTGCCTTTTACTCATTCTTCATCTCGTGCGGTCAAGTGTTTCGACTTAATTCAATGTGACTTATGGACCTCTCCTGTTAAGAGTGTGTCTGGAAATAAATATTACCTTGTTATTCTTGATGATTACTCTCATTTTCTCTGGACATTCCCTTTGCGCCTCAAGTTTTGAGACTTTCTCCACTTTGGCACATTTTTTCTCTTCTGTGACTACTCAATTTGGCTACACCATTAAAAGTGTTCATTGTGACAATGGGCGTGAATTTGACAATTCCTCCACCCGCTCTTTCTTCCTCACTCATGGTGTTCTTCTACGAATGTCCTGTCCCTACACCTCCTCTCAAAACGGCAAGGCTGAACGCATCATTCGCTCTGTTAATAACATTGTGCGTTCCCTTCTCTTCCAAGCTTCCTTGCTGGCTTCCTACTGGGTTGAAGGTCTCCACACTGCCACCTATTTACTAAACCTACGGGTCTTTGGCTGTGCTTGTTATCCTAACATGTCCGCCACTGGCCCTCACAAACTTTCCCCTCGCTCCACTCTTTGTGTTTTCCTAGGATACTCTTCTAATCATAAGGGATTTCGGTGTCTTGAACCCTTCCCCCAACAGCATCATCATCTCTCGTCATGTTACCTCTGATGAGACAAACTTTCCCTTTGCCAAGACACCGTCACCCCCGACCACTAACGATTTTAATTTTTTGACTTGAGTTTGAGCCTCCGGCATGCCTTCCTGGCCTCCCTGCTGGCTCCTCTTCTTCACGTACCTTTGGTGGCGTCACCCCTTCTGGTCCATCCGGCGTCTCGCCAGCTGCTGTTGTTGACTCCTATCACGCCCATTCTGGTTGAGCCCTTGGTCCTGGAGAGCCCTTGCCAGCGCCCTCCCGCGCCACGTGCGACCATGGCTACCTCGATGGAGCACCATGGTGCTCCTGCTGCTGCCCCAACTCCACCGGCTGCTCTGTTGTGCCCCCTACGCGCACCATCACCCATGTCTACACCCGGCGTCCTTGTCTCTACAAGCTCTTCGGTTGCTACAAGTTCTGGATTGCCACAGGGTGCTCCAGTTGCTGCAGGTTCTGGACTGTCACAGGGTGCTCCAGTTGCTGCAGGTTCTGGACTATCACAGGGTGCTCCGGTTGATGCTGCTCCTGCTGCACTGCCCCAGGGCGCTGTCCCAGTTTCTCAAGTGGTGAACCAGGACTTCATGGCCACCAGAGAGAAACTTGGCTTCCGTCAGCCTGCCAGCCATCTCTCCCATTCCGAAGACATTGGAGTGCTCTTGCTAATCCCAACTGGCAAACTGCAATGGAAGAGGAGTATGCTGCTCTTCTGTCCAACGACATGTGGGATCTTGTTCCCCGACTGTCTGGTGCGAATGTGGTAACTGGCAAGTGGATTTTTCTTCGGAAGTTCAATGCTGATGGCTCCTTTGGTCGGTACAAGGCCCGTTGGGTTCTCCGTGGCTTTACCCTACGTCCAGGCGTTGACTATGATGAGACTTTTAGTCCCGTGGTAAAACCAGCAACAGTCCGGACAGTACTCTATTTGGCTCTCTGACAGCATTGGCCCATTCATCAACTAGATGTGAAGAATGCCTTCCTCCATGGGACCCTCTCTGAGACTGTTTATTGCTGCCAACCCACTGGGTTTGTTGACACTGCACTTCCTGACCATGTTTGCCGCCTCAACAAATCTCTGTACGATCTGAAGCAGGCTCCTCGCGCTTGGCACAGTCGGTCTGCCACCTACCTCTTGTCTCTCGGGTTTGTTGAAGCCAAGTCTGACACTTCTTTGTTCATCTACCACCGAGGCAACGAGATTGTTTATTTGTTGCTCTATGTTGATGACATTGTCCTGACGGCCTCCAATGCCTCTCCGCACTATCACTGCCTTGCAACAAGAATTCTCCATGAAAGACCATAGTCCTTTGAATCACTTTCTGGGAATTTCAGTGAAGCAGCACTCAGGTGGTCCTTCCTATCACAGCAGCAGTACACCATGGACATCCTCAAACGTGCTGGCATGATTGATTGCAAACCGTGTAGCACACCTGTTGACACTGACGCCAAAGTTTCTGCTTTTGATGGTGCCCCTGTCAGTGATCCTACACACTATCATAGTCTTACTGGAGCCCTCAAGTACCTTACTTTTACCCGACCAGATATTTGCTTATGCTGTTCAACAAGTGTGCCTTCTCATGCGTGATCCTCGAGAACCTCACTTGGTTGCTGTTAAGAGGATTATTCGTTATCTTCAGGGAACTATCAGTCATGGTCTTCACCTTCAGCCGTCCACTCCTTCAGAACTAGTGGTCTATACTGATGCTGACTGGGCTAGGTGTCTTCTCGCCACTCTACTTCGGGCTATGCTGTGTTTCTTGGCGCCAATCTGATTTCTTGGTCTTCCAAACGCCAAAACACGGTCTCCGGTTCAAGCGTTGAAGCAGAATACCGGGCTGTGGCAAATGGGGTTGCTGAAACCTGCTGGCTCCACCAACTTCTACAGGAACTGCATGCTTCGCTGCCTCGGAGCACACTGGTCTACTGTGACAACGTTAGTGTAGTCTATTTGTGTTCTTCACGTACCAACGACGTCCCAATTTGCTGACATCTTCACCAAAGGGCTTCCAACTTCTGTGTTTCAAGATTTTCGTTCCAGTCTTGCGGGGGGTGTTAGCATGTTTACTTCCCTCTTTACTGCTAGTCTTTATTGCTAGTCTGCTGATGCTCCCCCCCAGGCTGTCTGCCACCTGTTTTCTTCCCCTATTTGGGAATCTCCCTAGTTCCCTCTATCTCTCCTGTTAGTTTAGTCCTCTATAAATTCCTGTAATCTGGTTTACTATCTATCGATGAATCATTTGAGCCCGTTCATGCTCTAATACATCGAGCTTGGGATCCGACAGCCACTCGGGCATTCGATGGCTCGATGTAGGCGGATTGCCACGGACTGGGCAGTAGACGACGGAGCAGAAGGGGCCGTTCGGAGCGCGGTGTGGCGGCCGTTTCACCTGCATGCCCTGGCCGGCCGCCGTGCAAGCTGCCTCCCACAGCGATAGTGGCCTCGCCCGGCATCGCGCCTCGCCAGGCAGCGGCGCCCCGTCCTCGAACTCCCTGAGCAGCGCTACGGCTTGGCTCGAGCGCGCCCACGCCGATGCCCTGAGCCCGACCCGCCGCATCCGCCGTTGGAGGCGCCGATCGCCGGGGCCCTGCTTGCGCTGCTGCGGTACCCAGGGAGAAGATTCAGACATGTGACCACGTAGGAGCGCGCGGCGGTCTCCTTGATGGCCTTGGCCACTCCCGTGCGGTCGAGGTCCCCCGCCGCCGCGTCTGTCTTGATGGCCTCGTCCACTCTATCGACACGAGCGAGGAGAGAGCTATGGCCGCACCGCGCGGGCGTGGAGGGCTTGGGGGCGGAGGGAGGGCGTGCGACGTCTCCATTGAAGGATGACTGTCGGATATGGTTGAGTAAGGGGAGAGAATAGAGGAGAGTTAATCTGGTGCGCATGTTTTTAGGGTGGTGTATTTCTGGGCGCATATTTTGGTGTGGACGTAGTTGAGGTCATGATTGTGGAGCAAGTAATTGTTGGGTGGATGTAGGATAATTTTAACTGGTGGTTTATAGGGTTAGAGAAGAGATAACTGCATCATAGTTTGAAAACTGGATTTGACCAGCAATACAATCTAGAAAATCCAAATACCCATGGCTGGTCTTGATTTGTTTCCATGAAACATCATGTTGGTATGAAAACTGGTCAAACTATTATGTTAACGAACTGGTTGGCTAAGGACATCAATGGATGACCTCCATCATGATAAAATTAAGAGAGACTATGACAGTAACATTAACAGCCTAACACATTTGCCGAGCAAGTTCTATAGTTAAGCAACAAGCATACGGCCTACACAGTAATCCATGCGTAATATTTTTTGATCTTTGCTGCAGATGGCACCTGAAGATATAAGATGGGAAGGTGAGGAGCCTGATTTAAACCTTCTAGGTCGTGGTGCTCCCGTCCATGGTGTGAAGAAGTCAATTAGTCGTGGTGGTCCCATGTCAGGTGCCGGAAGAGACAGAGGCCCCCAAAAGAACTCATTTAAGAAAGATTATCCATCTTCACAAAACGGTATTGGGAAGAAGGGTTCTGACTACATAGAAATTCTCCATACAGAGACACTCATAAAGGAGGTTTGTTTCGGAGGAACTCAGCTTATTCATTTATTAGAATCCTACCAGATTGTCTGTTCTATCATGATTATCTGCCTATATAGGTGGAGCGGGTTTTCAGTTCAGCCAACCCTGACCCCCTTGAGATGGAGAGGGCTAAGAAAGTGCTAAAGGTAACAAGGACGTGCAAAACATTAATGGGATTCCCGTTCTTCTGAACTAACAGTTGTTCTTGCAGGAGCATGAACAATCATTAATTGATGCGATTGCAAGGCTTGCTGAGGCATCTGATGACGAGGGTGGTAAGTGTTGTGCATAATTTCTCTTTTCAACTTTGTGAGCATAAGAATTGGGCTGTATAATGTACTTGCAATATTATAGAACGAGTCTAACATGTTCTCCCTTTTGTCTCCCATTGTTGAAGCAGATGATCGTGTACGAGTTTTGGAGTATAACCGTGGATGGAGGAACCAACACGGAGGAAGATATGGGGATGATATGACCATCGACGGCCTCATGGCTGGAGATGCAGATGCCATGTAAACCTGCCAATGTGTACACAAAATTCCTTCATTAGCTTATTTTTTGCCTGTTGTAAAATCTTGACGCTGATTTATTCTAGATTTAGCTGTAGGTACTTCTGATTGGTTCTAAGGAATGGAACGGTTAGGATCACCACTCTGATTGTTCTGCTTTTGTAGTAGAGTTGTGCCCAGCTCATGCTTTACACTGTAAATTTAGGTTTCGAGCTGATTTTGTCTCTGTATCCATTTGATAAGCATCTGTCGAGGTCTGTTTGGTTTCCTAGTGCTTCAAATGAAAGGCATTTTAGCTAATTTTGTAGCTAGTAAAGTTGTGCTATAGCACCAAGGGTGTAATAGGATCAGATATGGCTGGATATTACTAATCTCATTTGTTTTCATATTTTCCCACAGATTCGGATTCAGATACGGATAGGTGTGGAATATAAGACATGAATGTGGATGTTCTCGGTTACAAATACTAATAAATGTGTTTGATCTCGACAATGTTTGTCACGAATATTTTTCTAGATATATAGAGTAAAAGTGACATCCATATGTATGACATGTATAACAATCATTGAAGCGCTTCACGATTTGACTGCCGGGCCAAAACACTTTTCACCGCCGTCTTGCGTTTGATCCAGACGGCGGCTATTGGAAAATTGGGAATAACGAAACGGGTTCATAGATCAACAGACGATATGACGTAATATCATAGTCCCTCTGTTCTACATTTAACTTAAGTCATTCCAACTTTTGAGTCAAAACATCTCAAGTTTAATCAGAATTATGGAGACAATTATAAAGATCCATGACATCAAATAGGTATATTATGAAAATATAATTAATGAAAAGTTCAATAATATTAAGTTAGTATAGTAAATGTTATTATTTTATTATATAAATTTGGTATAAGTTTTTTTTATTCAAAAATTTGGTCAAACTTATCGTGCTTTTGACTTTCTAAGAAAGTTTGAATAACTTATCATTTGGTATAGAGAGAGTATAAATTATAGTATTGTACTATGATCAGGCAATTTATGCGTTACTGACAAAAGTTTATCCATATACATTGTTTTGTCCCATCCATGTTCACGGCCGGTCGGTAGAATCACGCTCACCTCATCATGTTTGTCTAGGTTCTACGATTCCCCTTGCCACCAATATGATATAAGCGGAAAGGGAAAAAAGTCTCCCTGACTCCTTCAATTACCGGTGGTTGTCTACTTTATCCCCTCATCCTATAAAATCAGATATTTTACTCCTCAAACTAATGAAAACCATTTAAATAACTCCCTGATGCGGTTTTGAAAGTGATTTTACTGACATAGCATATTAAAAAGTCTATATAATCTCTGGCATATCAAGAATTGACTACATAACCCCCTCAACTATAAAACATGATATTGTAGCCCACAAAAGCATCAAATAATGTTCAAATGATTCATGGGATGGTCTTTTGGATCGTTTGGACATCATATCCCGCCACACTGAGGCTATTTATTGCCTTCACCTCCCTACTCTTTCTAGGCTGACCCACCGTCCAACGAGCAGCATGTGACATCTTAGCTCCACGTCTACATCGTCGTCGTTCAACCCATCCCACGTCCTCTATCCAGTCGTCCTTCAAATTTTTTAGACAGCTAAAAGTTGAAAGTATTAAGTAGACTTTTTCCTAAGCAGAAATGAAGATGCCATCATCCTTTGTAGTTTGCAGTCGATGCTGAATGGCACAACCAAAACAGATAAAAGAGCCTCCAACACAAAAGCAAAAGGGAGACGAAGATGATTAGAGAGATCTTGTAATACATCAAGGATTCGTTGTCAAAATTGTCAATCACCAGATACACATCCTTTGGTGCGTCTAATCTATGCTCCACAAATTTTATTGTTATTCTCAAAGATTGGTAAATATGGATGTATGGGTGCCTCTAGTTCTATCTATAGATGTACTAGATTGTAATCCCACATGTAAATAGGAAAAACATTTGGCTTGGCTCATAGCTCATCTAGGGAGTACACCACGGTGAAAATAGTATGAAAGGCTGAAAATGACTAGTAAACACAATATCAGAAACACACTATAGGGAATTATTGTACTGCTTCTGAATCGTTTAAAACCACATCATAGCATTTACCAGGTACCCCATCATTCTGGAAATTACTCTAATGTTGGTCTCCAACACAGAAGGCGCAAAAGACCAGTTACTTCATATTTTGTCCCTTTCCTGCCCTTACCTCTCATAGTAATAACTAATTAAGATCTTTATTCAAGAATCACACCGCAATGCAGCAGGAATGGTCGTCTATCTACCACAGCCACATCTATGACGTTATGGTAGGGCTGTCAATTGCAATCCCCATTGTATTGAGTCCATTGTCAACATAAACAATCGAGCCAGTGATGGCAGAAGCCAATGAAGAAACCAGGAATGCAGCCGTGTTCCCCACCTCATCTGTTCAACAAGAGTATATTTGTTAAGAAAAAGAGAGCATTTGAAGAAAAAGGTTCCGCCTTTCAAATAGGGGGAAGAAACAGCAAGTCACAAGTAACAAAGGAAGGAGGCAACTCTGACCAGCCAACTGTTCCTTCTGCAATGGTGCATTAACATATGAGTACTCTATCATCTTCTCAATAAATCCAATTGCCTTAGCAGCTCGGCTCCCAAGAGGGCCTACAGATACAAGTGTAGGTTAATTGTCAAGGCATAGAGGAATAGTTTACAAAAAAAATATACTGCTAATATTCTTTTTACTTCAGCGGTATTACTTGATGAAAGTACCTGCTGATATGGTGTTAACTCTGATTTTGCCTTTTCGGCCAGCTTCAAAAGCAAGCACCTACATCGACAGGTTTATAAATGTAAAAAAGAACATGAATTCATGGGAAAATGAAGAATTTAAGTACACAATTATGCAAGATCATACCCGTGTATCACTCTCAAGAGCTGCTTTAGCAGAACTCATGCCACCACCATACCTATCAGAGAACAAAATCAATATAATAGTCACAAGATATCATAGCACAGAAATTAGCTGCGTCACAAAAACCTCAACAGAATATTTTACCCAGGAATCGCCCTTTCAGATGCAATGTATGTTAGAGAGATGCTAGCACCACCTGCAAAATATTGAAATGCATGAAACAGTGTCAACATAAAGGTTAACAGGGTGCGTTTCAGAACACATTTTCTCTATTAAAGGATGTCAAAAAAGGTGAAACCAGAATAATAGATTTTATACTCAAAAGTTTCACCCACACGAAGTAGGTTATAGATAGCTAAGCAATACACTACGATGATTCATTGGCTTAAGAAAAAAAAGGCAGCAACAGCAGTATTAATCTTAGCATGGGAAATAATGGTAGAAGCGCCAGCATAGCATAGGAGATATGCACTACCGGGATTCATTATAGGAAGGAAGTGCTGAAGCAATGAAACATAGGAGTAACTGGATGCTGAAATTGCCGTAAGATAGCCTCTTCTTGATGTTTCCAACAAAGGCTTCGTTACCTACAAAATGAAGATAGGTGATTTTTAAGATGGTTAGACAATGAGTCTAGTGTCACAAGAAAGAGCTGCAGCATGCCACTGCATGCACGTATACACAGAGCGAGATGGAGGGAGATTGTACCTCTGGGCCATTAGCAAGAGAATGCACTAGTATGTCAATGCTGCCAAAATCATTCTTCACTGATTCAACAACTTCCTGTTAAATTAAGAGAGATCAATGTTATTGTCACTAAAGCTTTTATGAGAAACAGTTAACACACTGCAGTTGTATTTTGAGCATTTTCTTCTAGCAAGCATAGAACCTAGGCAGCTATACATATGGAAAAATGATTGGCAACCACACACCTTTACTGTCCAGTTTGATGACCCTGCATATCTTTTGTTTGATTTGACCTAATAGAGAAATAAAATGTTAATTACGAAGCCATGTTGCAAAAAGGGGATAAAAAAAAAAGAACATTACATCTTCAGGAACATCATCAGGGGAATCGTAGACAGCATCAAGTGGATACACTTTAACAATATCCATAAGAGATCCATCTGGCAGCCTGTATCAACATTTAAGTTAGACACCTGCTAAACTGTCTGTATGATGAATCTAATAAAGAACTAAAGTACAGACTTCCGTGATTCATCAAACTTTCCACGCCTCAGACTTGTCTCAAATATGTTAAGTGCCTATCAAAGAAGAATACTACATAAGACAACAGTTCAGTAAAAGTGTCCAGTGCAAAGAAATCTGCAAGAGTCTGATCAACATACCGGCACCCATGTACCAACAAGAATTTCAGCACCAGCCGCAGCAAGTGCCTTTGCAATTGCCCATCCATAGCCATTATCATCAGCAACTCCAGCAATAAATGCCCTTTTACCTGAAACATTTAAGGCCTTGTTTAGATCACCTCCAAATTCCAAGTTTTTTCACTCTCTCTCCATCACATCAATTTTTGGACGCATGCATGGAGCATTAAATGTAGGTAAAAAAAATAACTAATTACACAGTTTGGTTGTAAATCACGAGACGGATCTTTTGAGCCTAGTTAGTCCATGATCGGACAAAGTTTGTCAAATACAAACGAAACGTCCAGGTTGCAAAAATTTGCAATCTAAACAAGGCCTAAGTATCTGAGAACATTTGTAGTAATGAAAAGCTTACTGTCAGAGAGCAGACTGACAAAAAGATTCCTTTATGTTTTCATCCTTTCAAATAAAGGCTGAACAATAAATAAAATACTCTGTGCTTGACATGAGAATACTACGCAATTTCAGTAAATTGACTGTTAGTCCTAATAATAGCAGAAGTATTTTTCTTCTGCTACTGCTAAATTGATTTTCTTTCTAAGGCATCATGGGATATCTTTTATCATATGTTAGTCATATGTTGGTTTTTCATTTTTAAGGCACCACTCACAGGTCTATTCTACACTCCTTAAAACTACGCTATCCAGAGAATCAGATTTTCGATTACTAATTGGAACCATGGACAATAATAAACAAGACCTAAATATATGGTTTAGTTTTACCATTATCAACTAGATGATATGTAAAACACAATCATTCCAGGCATCTAATGCAATGATGTTTATATGGTTCTCAGCTGCTTATGGAAAAATGTCAGGATGGAACTTTAAGCTATTAACTGAAGTTTTGTGCCTGTACCTAAAATGGCCACTCCAAATATTCTTGTTTCAGATTAAGAATTGAACAGTAGCCTTCCGTGTTACGCGGAACTGCCAGTAATTGAACAGTCAACCCCCACGCCCCCACACACAACCCAAAAAAAAAACATATGCAACAAACAGAAAGTAAATACTTTGCATCATACCAATTGCAATTTGAATTACCTCTGAGATCAATGGGAAGCCCCTGCGGGCCACTCTCTCCTGATATTGCTTTTACAAGAACACCATTGCGCTTAGAACCTAGAGGCCAGGAGCAACTGATTTTGGGGAATGTAGCAGTGGTACTGTGCATGCAATCAGTCCTAGAAACCGCTACTCTGGCAGCAAGAATTCCTTGTGAGGCTGAGATGCAAGGGCGTGCAGCCACCATCTGCACACCAGCAGCTGCAGAAGCAGCCATCGTCTTCAATACCAACTAACCTATCCAGACAGAACATGAACAGAGCGTGTCACAAAACTATGTGTCTGAGTTCACTATGGCTACAAGAGCATGAGGCATTGTTCACGTTGAGCGTAACAAAGAAAACTTAAATCAACATCAGCATAAATAGATCCTTGTGGAGTTCTTATCGATTTTTTAAGGAATCTTATCCATTTTGGGACAAACAAGCAACCCTTTTCTGGAAGACATCTGCCATGTTAACGAATCGGAGACGGATCTTGTAGATTGGAAGCTCAAGCAGTCACGCCTAAAACCCGGGACCATGATTTGAAATTTTCACGCCCCCAGAACTAAAAAGACAACCTAAACACACACATCTTGAACCCAAAAAAAGGGTATGACAGTGATGAACCCAGCTCGCGTCAGCTTGTAACGGTACCACCGGGAGCACCATCCAGCTAACACCGGCACAAAAACGATGCATCGACACAGATCATTCGCCCCAGATATTCACCCTCCGAACAACAGGGCAGCAGCGGGGCGGATCGAGGACGAGGGACGGGATGATCGGGAAGGGCGCAGCAGCGGCTTACCTGACCTTGGGAAATGCGGGACGGGGATCTGAGAACACGATGCGAGTGGTGCCTGGGTAGGATGGTGGAGAGAAGCGGCGAGGGAGCAGAGGAAATAAAACGAGGGGGTTTTCGATGAGACCGAGGGAGAGAGGGTTTGGAGCAGCTGAGAAACCGAGGAGCAGGCTCTTGCCTGTGCCTGGTGGTGGGGGGAAAAATATTGAGTGCAAATCACATTGCCTATCTATGTAATTAAAAAACTCTTAGCACAGGCTTAATTAGAACGGTGTCATTATAACTTTCATAGTTTTGAAAAATACCATTATAATTCATCTATTCTGAAATATGCCATTATAATTCTACCATTTCTTAAAATACACCATGCTCTACGTATGATGTGGCTCTGGGCCCAATTGCAGGACGATGGCCTGATATAGTATTTTTGTATAGACTGTAATGTCCCAGCCTCTGTCTTCTTCTTCCTTTTCCTCGTTCCTTCTTCCTTTACCAGCACTCTCACATTTTTTTAGATTATTACTGAATAAAAGCATTCCAGCCTTCACATTCACAAGTGAATGCTTATGGTCAAACATACAAAAGAGGTACTTAGACCAAAGTCCCGCTACACGGACATTAGAGAAACCCAAAACAAGACACCACACCGTTGATAGTTGTAACAAAACCGTCCAATTTATAAGAGCATAAGTACAATAGCAGCCCATAAGTGGTCGCACTATCATACTTGAGCCCATATAAACCCGGTAGTCCGTAGAGTACCACGAAGGTCTCGATTCATCGCCAACATACAACCAAGATCGTATATGATTCAACAGATATGCCATATGTTATATAGAGTTCACAAATACATTGCCATACATCAGAGTACGATTAAAGTTATTACAACCCAAGTTCCAAATAAAATAATAATAGCGGACGCAAAGTAGTTCTAAAACCAACATCTTACACCATTGTTTAATACAAGCCAGTTCGTGATCACCACCCACAATAGCATCACAGATAAGATATATAAGTAGAAGTGCCTTGCATGGGGCCTACTCCTTGCCCATAGCGGGACAGAAGCAATTCTTACAATAGGCATAAAAAGACTGTGTTATCTGCAACAAGTGAGAAATAAACCCTGAGTATAAGAAGGTACTTAGCTAGACTTACCCATCATAAACCAAAAATAAAGTGACTCCCAGGATAATGCAAGGCTTTATAAGTAGAGCTAGCTTGACACCATTTTACATTAAAAGCCACTAATTCAGTTATATATTTTTATAATTCGGTAATCAAGTTAATTATAACTATTCATCTCTAAATTAGCAACTAACCTGTGCCAAACATGTGGTATATCATTTAGTAGCATAACAATAGTAACCATAGCTGGTGTAAGATTTTCATATTCATCAGAACCATCATATTTCATAATCCAATTACTACGATGAAGGGGCTCCGTCAAGTTTCTCATTATCCGGAAGAGATGGCGATTCGAATCGGTTGTAACCAGCTGGACAGTATTCCTAACACAAACCCAGGTAGATCAGATCAACGGTCACCTTTGATATAACTCAGGTCTAATTCGCTGGTTCGATCAGCGCCGCACAATCAGGGACACTACCGGATGCCAGGTCGATCAGGACCCTAACCAGCCCTTGGCCTCACACTGGCTCCCCGCACATCCTTACTACCTCGACTGTATGCACTCTAATAGAATGAGGCCCGCCCTGAGTTGAGCTACTCGGCTTCGCGGTCGGAACGAGTTATTCGGACAGCTAAGTGAGAGGCATGCGTTCAAAATGATAAGAGGGTCTCCAACGATGTGGTCCTTAATCGGCACAGGCAGAATCACATGAGTCAACCTACACATAGACTCTATCCGGCCTCCAGTTACATTACCCCATGGTTCTGTTCCACGGTACCAAATATAGCCAACCGTGCTCCGGTATCCACCTATATCTCGCAGGTGACAGGAAATCACTCGATTTCTACCGGTCTAAGCATTGCTAAGCATATATTCGATCCTGGATATATAAAGGGTTAAAGGTATATATATTTGTAAGTGCAATCAAGGTCTAAGTGGATTTTGGTGATTTTGACCACATAATTAAAGGACTAATGGCTTTGACAAGTGTTTGATAGAATATCTTTTATCGTGGATGCAAAGAAACAAAGGAGGAGATTCTCCAACTTGAATCGATGGCTTGCAACGGCTCGAAGAGCTATGTTAATTCATTTTATATTTTGAAATTGAGTCATAGGACAAGTCGTACTATCAAGGGGGATACTAATGGTGTGCTAGGTGGAACCAAGTGATCAAAACTCCATCTTCAACTCAAATAATCCCAGCCACAAAAAGCTAGCCGAGCTGAATTTTTATCTGCTCTAGCCTACGCGGAACCTCCGTGCTCAGTCGTAGAACCTCCGCGGCGTGGAACCTCCACGCTCAAACGCGGAGGCTCCGAGGTTTGTATGACCAGACCATTTTGTGGGTGATGTGGTTCGTATTTATACCATACCCCTTCACCCCCAACAGTCATCTGCTTCCTCATTCACTCAGACTCGAACTGAAGCTCTCTCTCCCAAGCTTGGTGCTCCTAACTCCCTTGCTCAAATCTTTGTGATTCCTTGAGGGATTTGGCTCTAGAGAGTGAGAAAGCTTGAGAAGATCCCTCTCCTCCGGTCTTGCACACTTGGTGAAGCCCTAGCCGTTTGGTGTGTTCGTTACTCTTGGAGCTTGGCTCCTAGACGGGTAGCGGTCGCCCGGTAGCTCCTAATCCGCTGTGGTTGAGCACCGGAAAAGTTTGTATTACCCTTTGTGACTTAGTGGAACCCTCTAACCTATTGTCTTGGTGATAGGTCGGAGAAGAGGAACGAGTTGAAAGAGACTCCATAGCCTTTGTGGCTAACCTCAACAACGTGGATGTAAACAAGCCTTTGTGGCGAGTTGAACCACGGGATAAATCCTTGTGTTCATTGTGATTGTTGTTGTTGTTGCTATTACTTATGATTTGGATTGATTTTTAGGGTTTGCATCCGATCTACGAATTCCTCATCTTCTAGGTGCAACCGACTATTTGGATAGGTCAACATACTCCCCAGGAAGGCTGGTATTACATTCGATCTATTTTTTATTTGTTAAATTCTGCAGTAGATCGATTTCATACTCTGATCCCCGGAGGTTCCACACTCAGTCCTGGAACCTCCGCGCCCTCCGCGCTCAAAACCAGAGGTTCGGTGTTTTGATTGTTTTCATAAGTTGAATAATTTTCAGAAAAAGGCCTATTCACCCCCCTCTAGGCTACTTGCTAGATCCTTTCAATATCTGGACAAGGTAGTTCTATGCATCAAGTGTTTCCAAATTAATTCTTACAACCTAATGCATCAAACATAAAGGACACAAGTGATATTTTGTAAAACATAGGAGGCTTAAAATGCTCCGGGGCTTGTCTTTCAGAAAAGAAGTGGGTCGGTGGTCAGGGCACTCTAGAAGTTCCTCAGTAGCTGGCTCATCACCTTCAGGAGCTGCTGGATGTGGTGTCTCCTGATTCTCCTCTGCCTCTTCTTTGAATTCCAGTAGGGTTACTCCTTCGGGCGATCATATATGTATGAGCTTGAAATAAGATATCATGGATACATAGATATTGCATGGATGATATGATATGATAAAATGCATACTCATAAGTGTCCTTAATAGTAATGTATTAAAGTGATAATAAGATAAATTTTCTTTTACTGAGTAGGTGCATATCTCCACTCTAGTAATTAAACAAATTTCCATTTAAGCAATTTCTGGATTGCAAAATAGTAGCCACTTGTTTTGACCATAACTAGAGTTTTCACATCCAAAATAATATGATCTTAGACTTTCTGGAAATCTTATAAAATTGTCTACAACTTTCTTATAATCATCTTAAGATTATTCAGTAGCTATCTAGGTCAAACAATTCAATCTTTTATATCTATCCAGAGGACAAGCAAATCTGACAACAGACTTTTAAAAGCTATAATTTTCAAACCATTAGGCCTATGACCATGAAATTTTTGGACAAGCTAGATGAATAAGTTATCTACAACTTTGTTATTGACAAGTTTCACAGAAAAGATCATTATCATCATGAATTTGTCACCACAACAGAAACTACTCATACAACCATCTAGTTGAGTTATAAAGAAATAATTAATTAGCTCCCTATAACCAATTAATTCCAAGCATAACTACTAATATCAACATATCATATGTATCACAAGCACCATAGAAAACATCATGATGAAGCCCAAATAATTTACTTATGTGCATTTATTAATTTCCTTATATAATAGGGTGATTTATAGGATAATTATTTCCAATGATCAATAAATTCGGATAGAATTACAGTAGGTTACATATAACCCCAATAGTTTACTATACAAATTTCATGCCATTTCGATAAGTATAGCAACCTC